CCCCCACCCCCGCCCCTTCTACCAAGGCCCCACCCCATGGGAGCTAGGCCTCCTCCCCCAGCACCACGAGGTGGGGCGTCGTCGGTCCCAGCCTCCCCAGGCCCCAGAGCATGGGGAGGGCGGGCGCTGTGGGCAGCAACAGCACGCCTACAGCAGGGACTCTGGGGGCGGAGAATGGGCGGGGCCAGGCTGGTGTTTTGGAAGGCAACGCCTCCCCCTGCCTGTGGAGCTGCTGCCACTGCTGGAGGGGGCTAAAACTCACTAGGGAACATGCCAGCTGCATCCTTCCCTGCCCCCGGCCTGCGCTCACAGCCGCTCGCTTCCCCCCACCGGACGGCGCAAAGGCGGGTTCTGCACGCGCCGTCACTCGAACGGGGGCTGGCGGAGGCCGGCTGGAAACGCCCCCCAGGAAGCACGGCATCGCTGGTGAATCACATGAGGGGGGTCGCTGGGAGAGCCACCCCTAACTCCTGCCGCCCGCGTTGGTCTCCCCTCTGCCCGTGCCCATTCGCACCTTGGTTAAGTGTAATTTCCCCCCGGAGCCTCTTGTGCAGATAATTAAGTGCTTGGAGAAGAGGAAGCATTGTCTCTCGCCCTCTTTCTTCAAGGAGAGGGAGCCCAGCCGCCCTCTGGTGATCTTCCCTTTCTCCGACATCGGCACTTGGATGAGGGAGCCTGTGGGGGGGACAAAAATCCACGACTGGCGCTCGGTGCATTTCTCCCAGCAGGGGTGTGGGCCTGGCCCGCAAGGCAGCGGGAGCACAAAGCAGCCGGATCCCTCGGGCAGGAGCCACGCGCGGCTACGGCACGTACGTCTCAGAGGTCCCGCGGGGCAGCAAGACCCAGCCAGCGCAGCTGTGAACTGGGAAAGTGGCTCAAATGAAGGCCCTGCCCCCCCCAGACCTTCCCACATCCCACGGTGGGGCTGCTGGGGCGTAGCACCTGGCAAGGCAGCGGGAGCACAAAGCAGCCGGATCCCTCGGGCAGGAGCCACGCGCGGCTACGGCACGTACGTCTCAGAGGTCCCGCGGGGCAGCAAGACCCAGCCAGCGCAGCTGTGAACTGGGAAAGTGGCTCAAATGAAGGCCCTGCCCCCCCCAGACCTTCCCACATCCCACGGTGGGGCTGCTGGGGCGTAGCACCTGCTGTGCTGCAGTCAGGGAGCGTGCACCAGGCCTGCACACCAGACATGGCGAGGCAGGGAGGAGAGGTGGGGTGGGGCAGCTGCAACCAGGGAGCTGGAAGAGCAGGCTTGGGTGGGGGCCTCAGGATCGCCCCCCAAGATCCTGCCAGCAGCAGGGGGGGGATTTCACAGCCTGGGACAAGCCCCTGCAGGCAAAGCGAGTTTCGCCGCCGCCCCCCCCGGGGCTCTGCTGTCCGGAGACTCGCACGGGGCCACGTGCAGAGCCCCTGCAGCCAAGCATGCTCCTCCGGCTCCTGCCCCGGCACTTCGGGCGCCACGTGGCGAGAAGGGGGCCCTCGGAGGCCAGCTGGAGCGCCTTGCTACAAGCCCTTTACCCTCCGCCTCATCCAGCGCCACACACGGCCCGGGCTGCTAGCACAGAGCAAGGGGCAGAGGGAGAACCCAGGAGCTGCAGAGGGCAGCAGGACAGAGGGCGGCCCTGGGGAAACCATCTACCAGGGGTAGGGAGAATTCCTGCAAGAGCCCCTTGGGGGGGGGCTCCCCAGGCCCTGTCTCCTGCTCCCGGCGACCACCCGAGCCTGGCCTGACCCCAGGGGAGGGGAGTGTCTGTGGCAGCCCCCTGGAGAACAGCAGCGGCTCACTAGGGCTGTGTCTACACCACAGAGGTTTTCCCAAAAACACTTCACTTCCGGCCACACTGCAATCGCGTTCTTTCGAGGAAAAAAAATGGAAAGAGCAGAGGGGCTTTCCCGGCGTCGGGAACCTCTTTGGACGAGGAAGAAGCCCTTTTCCAAAGAGCTTTCGGGAAAGGTGCGGGCGGCCGGGGGAGTTCTTTCGGGAGAGGAGGGAAGAGGAAAAAGCACAGGTGCTCTGGTGGCCGCCTCGTCCATAGCAATCACGGCTTACATGCCGAGAGAGAGTCTGCTCAGTGGGGACACTAAGGCTGCGTCTAGACTGGCATGATTTTGCACAAAACCGGCCACTTTTGCGCAAAATCTTGCCTCCTGTCTACACTGGCCGTGAGTATTTGCTCAAGAACATTGACTTTGTACTGTGCAAAATCAGTGGTTCTTGCGCAAATACTCTGACGCTCTCGCTCGGGGATAAGCCCTCTTGCACAAGTATTCTTGCACAAGAGGCCAGTGTAGACAGCCACGTTAATTTCTTGTGCAAGAAAGCCCGATGGCTAAAATGGCCACCAGAGCTTTCTTGTGCAAGAGAGCGTCTAGACTGGCACGGACGCTTTTGCGCAAAAGCACATGGCAGTGTAGACGCTCTCTTGCAGAAAAGTTTTTCCGCTAAAAGTATTTGTGCAAAATCATGCCAGTCTAGAGGCAGCCTCTCTGTCGCAAAGCGGGTGGCGTTCTCGCTGCGCATGGGCAGTGCGGACGCACTCTTCCAGAAGACATTTTTTCGGAAGTTCTCTTCCAGAAAAGCTTCTTCCGACAGAAGCCTGCAGCACTCCTAGAAAGCGAGTGGGAAGCCCAGGCCAGGCTGGGCAACGGGGCTGTGGCACGGGAGGTCGTGCCGGCCGCACAAGCCCTGCCAGCTGTTCTGAACA